ATTTCATTAACATTAGTGCGTCTGTTCAATTTCAACATGGAGGGAAAGCTGTGAACAGCTCTCTATCTGAAAATTATTTTACAGGAATAAAGACCTCAAGAAGTGGCATACTGCGCTGCGACACAAATGTTTTTCTGCGCTATGTGTTCATCTTGATATCAAGTTATATACTAACTGACTGAGCAGATTGGAGTAAGCCATACAACATAATTATTTTATTTCTAGTAAAATAAATCCTGATCTCTTTTGAGACTTTCTCAATAAATAGAGTTGAACTCCATAATGGAATCAGATCATTATGTGTCTGTTTTTTTTCATGTATGTTGTGAAGAAATATAAACTCACAGGGGTTTCCGGGAGATCTAAGATGTGCAGGTGGAGAGGCGAAAGCAGACAGGACCCTGCCTCCTCCTGAAACACATCCTCATCCAGGACCTCAGCCTCGGCTTCCACTACACAAACACACACACAGAATATACAACATGTAGTAGTATGAAGGTAATAACACACACAGGTTCCTATATCTACTTCCTGTTTAATTTGTAAACAGAGCTAATTTCACAACACTGGTTTTAACTTTATAAATGAGATCAGGGTGCATTTACAGCCAACAAACGGAATGAATCATTTTCAGTTTCTCTCTTGTTTTAAATTCTCATGTGTGGCGATCCTCTCTTAGAAATCATAGAATGAGTAACATACAGTATTTACCTTCGCTCTGTATAAGACAGTAAACACAGTGTCTGCTTCCCTCACCTGCTATATGATGTGACTCCAGAAAGTCCACAGCCTCCTGGTAGATGTCCATCAGACCTCAGATGTTTATCAGCACAGAGTAGACTGAGCTCTGGAGACTAAGCATGTGAACGCACTCAGCCGGCGGTTAGAAAAAAAAACTTCCTCTTATATGTACATAAGGGAAAATACAACTTCCTATCTGGGTGAAACCCGTTAGACTTGATGAGAACTGCCCCCTGATTTAAATAAAAAATACGGTTAAACACTTCACTTCCTGTAAACTTCAACACATTGGCTCAAAATACAAATGCTATTCTGCTTAAGATGTTAAGCAGACTGAACTTTATACTGATGCCTGTATGCTACAGAAGCAAACAAGAACATGAAGACGAACTATTTCTATGTTGAATGCAGGGACAGCTGCCTGTGGGTAGAAGTCATACGAGGACAGAAACAGCAGGTTGCAGAGACTTTTTCAGACATTTTTCACAGCAAAAATGAGTGAGGCATATGATTGACTACCAATAAATAGTTTTTTAGGACTTTTTAAACCTCTTTGTTTTCTAATAACTTTTCTATATCTTGAGCACAGCATATATAATGTTAACAATGTCAGTTTAGCAAGTTTTTGGAATTGTACAGATATGTAAAAAAAAAAAAAAAAAAAAAAAACTGTCAATGTCAAATTAAACTCAGATTAACAGATATCTGTCTATTTTTATTTACCAGGAGCTGCTGTGTATTGGCAGCAAGTGCTATCCTACAGTGTGCCATTAAAATCGTGTGACTTAATATTTAATTTAAAAGCTAACTTATATCATTATAAGCACAATTTATAATGTACATGTGTGGAAAACCAATCATAAGTACTACCTGCACCTGCAAGTTCTTATATTAACCAAATAAAATGACTATAGTGGGACGTATATATAGCAGCAGGAGCAAGAATTCATATTTTAGAAACCCTTTTTTTTTTTTTTACCAATTATTTGATTTATAGATCTTTTTTACAAGACAAGTTTACCAAATAAAAAAGCAAAATCATACATGGCTGCAGGTTCCTTCATGAGGGTTATTGAATTTCAACAACTAACAGTTGTTCAATGCTGCCCTCTACAGTCAAACAGAAGTCCCCACAGCTGCCTTCAATGCTTCGTGTCTAACTTGCATAGTGGTTAACAAAGCACACGTTTTCTCTCTGCTCTGTGGCTTGGTTTTACCAACAGCAAAAAAACAGAACACTATCACACACCGGTAAGTCTGTCAGATGTTTCCTGTTGAAGCTTTAACACAAGCAGCAACACTTTGCTCGGGTTGTTGGTGGCTTTTTGGTGTCATCAAGTGTTGTTTTTGTACTCACATATTGTCAGGAAGTATGAGCGTTATCATAGCTTTGTTTAACAGTAAATGCAACGAAAAAGAAAGAAACCAAATCAAATGTTTTAAGTTAGGCCTACTTGTGTTGTTAACATGACAGATGTGATGAAACCTCGTTTGATGCAGGACACATCCGTACCAGACCTGGGTTTGGATGTTTTTGCAATAGATACACTTTTTTATTTTTTTATTTTTTGGTAATACACATTTCTGGCCACTTTTGGTGACCTGAAATGAAAAATAACATTGACAGATGTCGGTTCTTGTGGAATTGAGGTGTTGCGCGTGACAGCACAATGATCCTTTTAAAACTGTGTTTATGTCCTTCTGAAAAATATAATTCCCCATGTTCACTCTACTGTTGGCTCATTGTTGGTCTCTAACAAATGCTGAGGTAAATATGTGCCTCTTTAATAGCAATGTTATCTATTGTGTTCTCCAGCTGTCTGCTTTTGGGTGATGAGGTTTGGTGGGATGTTAAAACATTTTTGCAAGAACTAAAAAAACAATGAGCAAAAAAAAAGTGCTTAAACTATCACGTCTCAAAATGCATGTTTTCCATTGTTAACATAATACACAATATCAATTATAGTTTAACTTGATACAGCCTTTTTACAAACCTTTAAAAAAAACTTTATGAATCTTGCTAAACTAACCTGTTTTCCTTGTAACTTCTTTTGAGTAAAATCCCTTTTTCTAGACTTTCTTTTAATTGTGCAAATCCATCTGTGAAACTTTTGAACTATGAAAACGTCATATCTCCTTACAGCACAGGGGAGAAATCCAATTATTTCTGCATGCACTTGAAGGTATCATCACTTTGATCCGAGGTGGTTCTCCAGCAGGAGGTGCCCCATTTTCAACTTCACTGATTTGTATGATGAATAACTAAGCTCGTAACTCATCAATAAATTGAATTCTAGTAAGTACTGTGGAAAGCGTGGGTGTAGATCCTCCCCTTTACGACTTTATGCTTTCTCCCTTAACAGACTCACCCATTTTTTTCCCGTCTCCAACTTGTTCTTTCATGTTTCTCCAAAATTTCCAAAGAAAGGAAACTGAAACAAATACATCCCAGAGGAAAGGGAGTAACGGTGGCCTTCCATGCTGTTATCACAAACACACAGCACTAGTGAAAACAGAGAATGATCAGGGTCACCGCTAGTGACAAAGCTTCATGGAGGAACATGAAACACTGGGTCTTTTATGGTAATAAACAATGAAGCAATAAATTGAAACAATAAGTGATGCACAAGGTACGTTAGGTACACTCAACTACCGCAGTTAAAAATAATCTATTGAGGCAAAATGCACGGCTGTAATCCATGTATACCATCATAATAAAGTTGTAGTACACTACAATCATACTTTATGTTTCAACAGCACCAATTGTAGGTAATATAATCAATGATGCATTCATTGCCTTAATGTGTGTCATTATGGGGTAGAAAGCACATGCAAATAACTGAAAATGCATCAAGGTCAAAGGAAACCAAAGTCCAAAGTAAAGTCACACAGCCAGATACTTGGCAAAAACTTTCACTTTTGCTGCCAGACTTTCCTTTCTATCCTTCAGATAAGAACAACACATGCAGGAATACATGATTTCAGTCCTTCACTGAAGAAATCCTTTCCAAACCTAAACACTAAAATAATCCAGCATCAGGTACTTTTAAGCGGTACTAATGGGTTGTGTACACTGCTGAAACATGAATTGAAGTTTATCTGAAGCATCAATGCACAGGTATAAACCTCTTGACAGTTTCCTGAAAGAATGTTTATTATTCTCGCAGTAGTAACAGGGAAGATAAGAGCCCACTATGTGTGAAAATGTATCTCAGACGATCAAAGCATTTGCAGAATTACCAGAATAGATTATTGTGGTAACTACTATAGAAAGACCGGATGGGGGTGCAGAAGTTTCGATGAAGGCTAAATGCACCTAAAAACTTTTTCATTGGACTAATCTGTGATACACAGAGAAATGGTAAACAGGAAATCCCTCCTCAGTGTTTTTTTCCCTTTGGAATACTTTTAGCCAAGATACTCACATCCTCTTTTAAATTGTTTTGGTTCAGTTAGACAAAAGTTGAATGGGTTGAATGTGTTTTTTCAGCCAAAATCTCAAGTCTCACAGGGTTAGTCCAGCACCACGGGGACTGGAGTCTGTCCAAGGAAAATGTTTCCCTTTATCCCTTATTTACTTTCCTTTAGTTACAGCTGCTAGTCTCCTCAGTGTTAATACATTCTCTCAATTCAGGCATGAAAAATCTATCACCATGTTCATCACCAGTATATCTACCATCTTCTCTATCACCAAAAGCATGTTGATGTAGAGAGGAAGTTAACATGTCAATATACTGTACATAGTAATTCTAAATGCAACCACAAGCAGTGCCAAGTCAGTCAAGAGATGGGTCAATAAGCAGTTCTGTGAGGCTGTACTTTGGTGACATAAGCTAGGTGCTACCACTCACAATTACAATGCTTACATGTTTATTTAGAAAATACAATGTTAACCCTGCATGCAAACATTTATCTTTTTGCACAAAGTACAGTTTAGGTTATTGGAAATGTATTTACATAAGCAGTTATTTGGTCATTACTAATGAAAAAAATAATAATTTGGGCCAGATGATGATGGGCCAAATTATTGGATATGATATGGGAGTCAGGTGATGACCTGAGTCGCTACGATCGATCCTCCAAATACAATGACTATTAGTAGAAGATTTTCATTCAATAGTTCAAAGGATATTTAAGTCAGGACCTCGGTGGCAGAACAGTAAAGATTGCCATCTTTAAAGCTACACTGCTAGCTTGGCTAAAAATGCTGAAAAGATTTTGAAAGGCAGTGCAATAAAGTCAAACATTAGGATCAGATATAAACTTTGATAACATCACAAGCAGTGCTGTAATCATTTATTCAAAAACGAAATTCAAACAAATTATGAAGCCATTACTAATCTTTTAACTCTCGTCCCGGCATGCAAAATGTGGATTGTGTCACACAGCCTCAAAGAACGCCCTCTTCAATCAGGTGTAGATCTTCACTGCTTCATCATTTACAATCATTGAAGCATGCTTCAAGCACATTTGATACAGATGATGTGTCTTTACAAATATCAAAACACTGTATGTATCTATAAAAAAACAGTTAAACTTCACTCATATGGAATCAGATTGTGAGAGGATCTTCTTTGGTAAACTGGTCAGAGTGAATCAAGGGTCTGACAAGAAAATGAGCTAACGTCATGTAATCCAACATAGTAACATGCTAACATTCAACTTAGAAAAGATGGTATTAAAAGCAACTCTTAAGCTTTGAACAGAAAGAGGAAAAGCATCTGTTCTAATCATTGAAAAGGCAGAGGACCATTAACGTAGATGTATATGCACCTTATGAACTGCTAAATGTTTGTGTGCGTGGGATATTGTTGAACAAAAGTATGAACAAAAATCATTATAGGCTAAATGTTGAGTGTTCATCTATTTTCTTTCATTTAATACTGATTACAGAACAAACAGAACTGACTTTTTTGTATGTATTGGTCACTGGAACAGTAACAGAAATAACTAGGCAGCACCACATAATATGGGAAACAAGCCTTATGCCCTCAGCTAACATCTTATCCTCTGACGACCTGTGTGGTGACCACAGAAGTGCTGCCCTGGTGGCCCCTCCTGATCTTCAGCTCACGGTTCATCTGGCACCAGACACACGTGTAACACCAAAGAAGACTGCAGAAGTCGCCACAGCATGAGCCCTGAGGGACGAAAGAGAAGAAAGGAGAGAGAGAAAGTGAGCTACTGTGCTGAAACATCCACACTTTGGCATTAAGAGCCAAAAATATTCACAAGATCGGCTAAAGAATATGAATGACTAATCTCTGAAGGTTCCTGACCCCAAACATTGGACATGGTACATGGGTAACAACAAAGTCCAGAGAGTTTTCAAATATGTTTCCATTCTCTTCTCCCTCCTGTATTTGGTGCCTCAGACACAAACGTCCTAAGATACTGTACATAAAAGTAGTGTATCACTTTTCTGAGAGTTAATACATCAGTTCAACACACTTGTCATGTACAGAGCAATGAAAGAATGGAACTCCCTCCCCTTATTCTGTTACGCAACTCTAAAATATTTGTAGTTTGGAAATGAAACTTCAAGATGAGTTTCAGTTATTGGCATTCCTTGGAGCAGGGTCACATTGGCATCTAGAGCAAATGTATTAGACTTTGATGGATTCAGTCAAAGTGAATATTTATATATATATATATATATTTATGTGTGTGTGTGTGTGTGTGTGTGTGTGTGTGTGTGTGTGTGTGTGTGTGTGTGTGTGTGTGTGTGTGTGTGTGGACATTGAAGAGTGTGTTGGTTTTGTATATAAATGTATTGTTGAATATTTTATTAATGTTACTATATAGTTGTATAGTTTTTTACTGTGATGTGTGTTTGGTGCGTTACGTTGCCGTATTGGTTGAACTGTGATGTCATGAGTATTGTTGTATTGCCATTTTGGAAATCATGTTGACCCCAGGAAGACTAGCTGCAGTATGCTAAAGCTAACAAACAACAAACTGCAGTCACCCTTTAGACATATTCAGTAATTCATGATCATCTGTGGAAGAAGAGTTTGAATGGAATGATGTCCGTCCTCCCACTCCCACTAACACATACGCCTAGATATAAGCTAACTGTCACATAGCACATATACATTTCACATTTCACACATTTCCACAATTTCCCAGTTTGGGATCAATAAAGTAATTCTATTCTATTATACACATTATACACTGTTACCACATCCTGACATATACATGTCAGGATGTGGTAACAGCTGTTTGCAGAGTTTTTGTGTGCCTTTAAACAAGGTTTGTGTTTAGCTTGGTTAGAGTGCACCGTTTGAGCTACGAAAGTTCAGTTCAAATTGTCTTTTTAGTCCACAGAAAAAGAAGGACTTTCACTTTGCGATTACCGCTTTACCCCGCCAAACCAAAGACGTTTGATCATCCAGGACAGAGCAGCATAACTAGATGTTTTCCTATATTTTGGAATTTTAGATGATTATTCTTTTAATAACTACAAAATGGAACAACCTTATAGGGAGAAATAGCTCATAGCGGACGGACGAGCGAGATTGAGCGAGTGTGTCATTACGCACAGAGGAGAAAGATGAAACACTTAAATCGTTCACCTGTTCTATTGTAACTTCATTTACCAGAGTAACGTGTGCTCTACACTGCAGACTGGAGTCTTTGTTAACACAATGTTTCTGTCAAAACAGCTTCAATGTGCGATGAGTGCATTAATGTCTGCATGTCCGCTCACCACACATAATAAAGTGTTAAAACGGTCATAACACGTCTGTGTGAATTTCTATTTGAGGTTTGCTGTCTGTTGATGTAAGAAATGTCATATTTGAATGTTAATACAAAAGGCACCTTAGGCGCAGTCACACTGGTCATCTGTACCGTGCTGTACTCAAGCACGATTGCCCCCCCCGCTGCGCCATTCCCCCGCTGGCCGACCAGCGTTCACACTACACAGGACTAACCGTGCCTAAGCACGATTACCTCTTGTACATAACGTCATAATACAACACATGCACGCTTTATGTTATTATGAAGTGCGCTCAGTTTACAAACAGGCGGAGAGAGAGAGAGAGAGAGAAAAAAAAGAAGACGCACAGTCGAGTCCGTGTCCGCACATCAGACAAAAACACAGAACATGACAGCTACTTTACAGCTTATTTTAAGCCATTTTAATCAGACACAGCAATAAATAAATAAAAAAATAAAATAGATGCACATCGGAGAACAACAGAGAACATGACAGCTACTTTGTGGCTTATATTGTGTCATGTTAGTCAGACACAGACATGAAACTCTGGATTTCTCCATAATGGAGGCTGTCAGCGTTGTGTACCTGCGTGCTTGTGCTCGTGCGTGAAGTGTACCGTGCCAAAGCCAAGGAAGTGTACACACACTGGTCAAGCAAACTGGACTTTAGCGTTGAAGCGTACTTTGGCACGGTACGGATGGCCAGTGTGAAAACAAATCATTTTCTCAACACTGTCATGTATGTGACACCAGGAATCAAGCACCTTAGGACAGCTCCAGACTATTCTTCAGAGGAACGGGATGTATTAAGATCCGTTTCCCACACAATGTTAACTTCACTGTATGTGCAGCGTTACTTATTGCAGTTTTACATCATAATGCTGATGTTTTTTTATGTACACACACACACACACACACACACACACACACACACACACACACACACACACACACACACACAATAAGTACAGTACACTGTTCCTCATTTGGCTTGCATCACCAGTGAACATGTTTTGGTTTTTTTAACCTGATACGAGGCTTCTGCACCTTCACTCGGTACGTCTCACTCTTCAAACCCCAGACCTCAAACTTTGTGCAACATGTCTGCCAACAAGTATATGATGATTTCATTTGCATCAAAACACGTACAGACTTTATCAGCTAATCTATACAATCCTATTCAACCGTCATTTTTCAAGAACTACTCAAAACGTACCTTTAGTACGTCGTAACGTTTAGTTACGACTTTTAGTATTTTCGTTATATACATATACAGATGTTCCTATTTTGTTGTTATGTTCATTCCTGTCCTGCCATTTCCACATTGGTTTGGTATTACGTATCAGCGTGTTTCTAACAGTTGATGCTAGATTTTGCAACGACTATGTCAGTAAATATGCAAACTGTAGGTTTGTATGATCAAGGAAAAAGAGGAAGTGTTCCCTCTCACAGCTGCTTGACAAAGAGAAACACAACTACAACTTCTGTAATAAGACTTACAAGAGTAATAATTTCCTTACGCCCAGTTTCAAGCTGAGGTGTGACTTCTAACGGAGATACTGAACTCCACACTGTCATTTTTCATAAAATAAATCATCCTAAATCTTCCATTTTACCTGAGCAAATGCAAAACAGAAACTTGAGTGATTCACCTGAAGTAATTAACCTTAGGTATCTTATTTTTCCCTCCCTCCCTCCCTCCCTCCCCGGGCCAGCCTTACATGGATGCTGTGACGCTCTCTGATGGAGGAACGGAGGAGGCAGGACACCACACAGCAGACGTCCAGGAGCGGCATGCAGCAGCACCAGCCATGGTCAGCGGCTGTCTGACACTGCATGCAGGGGAAGCACCAAAGGCCGCAGCAACCTCCAGAGAGAAAATAATGTGTAAAAATCAGCTGTACAGAATATTCTGTTGAAATAACAGAATATATAGCCCAGAATTCCCCAATATGCCATCAATTGACATATTGTTGTACCTTAGTAGGGGAAGTCTACATAGTTCTTTTTGGTTGTAACCAACCAAGTAAAAGCATTTTACCCAGGTATCGTTTGCGTGTGGGAAACACTGGTACGAGATATAAATTACTTTTTGTCACCGTTATTGAAATAAATCCAGATTAGCTTCGGTTTTTCTACATAATGTTGCTCTAGTCTAAACCAATACTGTTTCTGCATCAGTGGGGAAACTATTTAATGTCAAATAATGATGTGTTTGCTGGATTGACTTACAGGTGCCCATATCACTACAGCAATCACAGATTCCGGTGCTCCATGTCCCCGGACCATGGGTTGTGGTGGTCTGGACCACGACCTGGGTCGGCTGCTGGTAGACGGCCATGTCTGGAGGATACAGGACAAAAATGGAGGAACTAAGCGCCATCAATTGACATATTGTTGTACCTTAGTAGGGGAAGTCTACATAGTTCTTTTTTGGTCCACACACAACTTGTAACACCTGTTTTCACGGCTAAATCTTCTTTGGCAATCATCAAAAAGAAAACAATATAAGAGAGGGATTCTGAATGCTTCTTTAGCCGCACTCCTTTGAATACAGTTTTTTTTTCAAATAACTCAAAACACAACTGAAACTTAACTTTTTAACACACGACTAGGCTACACTTCAACTTGATGTTGAGGTGTTATATTCACTTCATATTTCACATGTGAAGTCATATTCTGAGTAATTATGCCAGGTGCAGCAGAGTCTTCAAAGTGCATTCAAATAGTTTATTCATCATAATTACTGAGTTATATCCCGTAGTTAAAGTATTGTGACAAGTTGGTCAACCTTTAAGTTCACACACAGATGAATTCAAGCTGGGGAAATCTCAATTCAATTAGTTAGGTATTATCACTACTATTATTATTTTTAACTGTTCGCACCATGTAATCATATTAAGCAATAAAGACACAACAAAGACCGTAGTTTGTGAATTTCTTGAGCAATATGGACCTTTGCACCGACGATACTGAAAGCTAACATGTTAATGAAGAGGTCATGTGAGCTAGCTTCAACATTTAGCTTCAAGTCCACTTGATCTTAAAAATCTTTAAATTCATGGTATAAGGCGTTTATATTATTTAATTAAGATGTTGTTGTTGTTTTCATAATTGCAATAATAAGATAACATCATTACATGTCCCTGTTGAAATTATCATTAAAGAAATGTGCAAAAATGTGTGTGTGGTCTAGTTTTAGAGGTAAGAGATTAAACGACTTTGACAGAAACTTTATTTTTTAGAATATATTTATACATTTTTCTTTTGTAACGTGATGAACATTAATGATTAACATGCAAAGTGTAGCTGAGTAACAGAAGAACACGTTTTATATTCTCTCATATTCAGTTTTTCTGCTCATTTCACTGTTAACATAATTATCTACCATTATCGAAACCCACGAGGCCAGCAGAAAAAAACCCATCAAGTAGTCTAATTAGTTCTATCAAAATAAGAGCCTCAACATCAGCCTTTCACATTTAGCCGAATATAAAAGCATTTTCTTACCTTTTCTCTGGTTTCGTGAGCTCTGAAAAAGATTTCAGGTTAGTGCAGCACTGGATGCTCGTTTGAGGAGGGAGGAGGAAAGGTTAAGTTTTCTTTCTCAGTAAAGCCTGCCCCCATCCTGTTTTCAGAATAAATACATTCATACACTTTCACTTTTAGAGCACACACAAAAATGATATCTAATGCATGGACAATTACTCGTGTTAAGAAAATTATAAAAGACAATAATAGGCTCCTAATATTTACAATCTGTGGTAGGCTCTTAATATTTACAATCTGTGGTAGGCTCCTAATATTTATAATCTGTGGTAGGCTCCTAATATTTACAGTCTATGGCTCCTAATATTTATAGTTTATGGTAGGCTCCTAATATTTACAGTCTATGGCTCCTAATATTTATAGTTTATGGTAGGCTCCTAATATTTACAGTCTATGGCTCCTAATATTTACAATCTGTGGTAGGCTCCTAATATTTATAATCTGTGGTAGGCTCCTAATATTTATAATCTGTGGTAGGCTCCTAATATTTACAGTCTATGGCTCCTAATATTTATAGTTTATGGTAGGCTCCTAATATTTACAGTCTATGGCTCCTAATATTTATAGTTTATGGTAGGCTCCTAATATTTACAGTCTATGGCTCCTAATATTTATAATCTGTGGTAGGCTCCTAATATTTACAGTCTGTGGTAGGCTCCTAATATTTACAGTCTGTGGTAGGCTCCTAATATTTACAATCTGTGGTAGGCCCCTAATATTTACAATCTGTGGTAGGCCCCTAATATTTACAGTCTGTGGTAGGCTCCTAATATTTACAGTCTATGGCTCCTAATATTTATAATCTGTGGTAGGCTCCTAATATTTACAGTCTATGGCTCCTAATATTTACAGTCTGTGGTAGGCTCCTAATATTTACAATCTGTGGTAGGCTCCTAATATTTACAGTCTATGGCTCCTAATATTTACAGTCTGTGGTAGGCTCCTAATATTTACAATCTGTGGTAGGCTCCTAATATTTACAGTCTATGGCTCCTAATATTTACAATCTGTGGTAGGCCCCTAATATTTACAATCTGTGGTAGGCTCCTAATATTTACAGTCTGTGGCTCCTAATATTTACAATCTGTGGTAGGCTACTAATATTTACAGTCTGTGGCTCCTAATATTTACAATCTGTGGTAGGCTACTAATATTTACAGTCTGTGGTAGGCTCCAGGAAGCATGATGCATTCACGTGCTGTCGGACTTCAGCAAATCATTTTACAATTAAAATTAGGCCTTTGAGTCTTTCCTTATTTATTTTCTTATTTATTTTTATTTTGAATATGAACAGCTTGTATTAAAGACCCCCGTTAATTACCACACAGTTGTTTTTAACAGAACACACACACAGATATTCATCTGTTATAGCCTACTTGTTGTAATACCTTGTAGGCCTATAATAAACTTTTTTTTAAAATATACTTTTTACCATGTTGCATGTGACTCAGTGTCTATCAGAGCCTTGTGATAATAAAAGAAGCTCAATAATGACTAGCTTAAATTTGAGATAGCCTCTTTTAATCAAGTTAATAAATTGTTAAAATTGGTTAACCTGGCCATAGTTTTACTTGCTATTGGACCAAAAAGCATGCTAACTGTTAGTCTAGCTTAAAGGAGGGTTTATTTCACATACATGGAATGTGACTACAGATCATATTTGCAATGTGTATTATCGTAGAGGATTGTTATTTTACAGTTTAACATCGAGGCTACTACACAGTTAATACTCATATTTTCAAAAAGGGAAATACATTGCAATATTAAGATACTTATAAAATTATCTAAATGGCCAACAGGGCACAGCCTATCTGTTCTCAGGTGTGCACGGCTGCAGGAACATACCATGAAAAATAAATCATAAATTTGTGGCACACAGAAAATAACTTCACTGTATTTTATTGTGACAGGCGATGTAATTGGCCTGTTGCTTTCTCAGGTTTTTTTAAATTTGGTTTAGCTTCCATGGATTTATGATTTATTTTTCATACTTTTTTTATTCTAAATTATTAATTAAATTATTAAATTAATATCTAAATTATTCTAATTTCTTAAAAAAAAAAAAAGGTCAGGGGAAACGGAAGAGTGAGAGTTTCTTGAGACTATAAACAAGTGTTGTCTGGATGCATAGACAAACTGGGCATGCCTAGTTCGGCCTGATGATGGCACCAGAGGAAAGCAAAAAGACACTGTTGCATTATCAGCTGGCTTCTCATCTCCACACTCCAGTACTGAAACTTCAACTTATTACAGCTACAAGCTGAGGACAAATAGAGGCGTCGGCTTTGATCAGGGTGTCTTTATCATAAAATCTGTCCATATTACCCAAAATAAAAGGTTAAGTATTTCTCTGTGTACAATTTTAGTGAAAACTCAGACATTTTCACACATGGCTCAGTTTTCACTCTTATAAGGTCACATTATTTTCTGGTACATATGGGGGAAAAATATAGTCTTTGATGAACTCTTTTCAGATTGTTATCTGATCTAACTATGGTATTTTTTTTATCTTATTATCTTTGACTGATTGATGTGATTGAATCATTTGTACACTGGGTGGTGATGAACTGAGAGTACAGCACTTTTTGTGGCATTTGGGACCATCATATAGAGGGATATTAACATAGAATGCACTGGTATAAATCAGACCCATATCTAAGTAGAAGTAACAAAACTCTGCAAGTTAAAGTCCAACAATCAGAAGTTTCCTGAAGTAAATGTGTAAAAGTATTCTGTACTTCAAAAGTCAGTCATTTAGTCCTTTACAGTGTTTGACTTGTATACATCATGTTTCTTCTGCTTTTACTGCTAAAGAAAGGGAAAGTTTGAGCCAATTTCACTACCTCAACAATCAATATTCAATATAGTGACGCATTATATGATATAGTGTTTCTGTCCTGCAAAATGTATATCTCTAAAAAGTAATCCTTCTCGATCTCAGACACATGTAGAGAAAAAAAGCTTTGTTGCATATTCATTACCAACCAAGAAAGATTATTAACCACATAAAGGAACACTTCGTCCTCAAACGCGGAAAAAAAAACCCCGACGCAAACAAGACAAAACATCAAGACATTAAGCAGTTGTGTGTGTGTGTGTGTGTGTGTGTGTGTGTGTGTGTGTGTGTGTGTGTGTGCGTGAGAGAGAGAGAGAGAGAGAGAGAGAGAGAGAAGTCTTGATCGTATTGAGTCAGACCTCAGTCTTCACTGAGGCAGCAGTGAGAGAGGACAATGCGGCGCGCAAACTTCATCACATCACATCACACACACCATCCTCTTCATACTCGTCGTCCTCATCATTCTCTAAATCCAACGGAGCCCAGCTGAGGAAGAATGTCAGCCAACAACACCGCGTTGTCCACAGAAGCAAGGGACTACACCTGCGTGCGTTTCTACGTCTCCACCGTGTCCTTCTCGGTGCTGCTCATCTTCAACCTCATCATCAACTGGACCATCGTGCGCGTGGAGCAGCTGCGGAGCCACGCGCGCTTCGTGCTGGTTTTCCACCTGCTCGTGTCCGCCCTGGTCCACATGGGCATGAGCAGCATCTTCTTCTACCAGATCCACCTGAACGCGCGCCCGGGCCGCCCCGCGTGTCTGGCCATGATCACAGTCCTGATCAGCAGCGCGTCGAACATCCTCCTGACGCTCACGGCCATGGCTCTGGATAGATACTGCGCCGTGTGCCACCCAATGCGCTACACCTCGAAGTGCACCTCGGCGCACTGGCCCTGGCTGCTGGGCGTCCTCACCTGGATCGTGGCTCTGATCATCCCTCTAAGCATCCTCCACCCGGACTCCCAGGTGCGCTATAATGGAGAGTGCGGCCTGGAGCAGCAGAGGAAAGGTGGGCTACAAAAGATACTCTTCATCGCTTTGTGCACGCTGCTCATCCTGTACAGCTACGTGAGGATTTTCGTGGAAGGACGGAGGTTAGGGGTGCTCAACCGGCGCAACCGAACCGGCTGCAGGACAATCGCTCTGCATGGGAGCCAACTTGCGGTTTACATCCTCCCAAACTTTGTAAGCTTCATTCTGACAAGGATGAGCAAACAGGACCTCATTAAACCGGAGACTAAAGAGCTGTCCGCCGTGGTTGTCTTCGCTTTCTTCAGCTTGGCGCAGTGTGTTGCGCCGGTTGTTTACGGTTTGCGCAAAGAGGAACTCCTGGAGCAATTGGGTCACAGGTTCCCTTGCTGTGCCCGGTACTTCAAGAGCGTCCTCGGCTGGACTGTGCACGTCAACTGGACAAACAGACGGCAAAAATCACGGTACGTCCCTGTGGATGCAGACATTACAATTCTTCTTTTTTTTTATAATAGGGATTTGTTTTAAAACTCGAGGGGGGCGGGGGGGAACTGGGCCCCTTGTGATCTGGTTGGCCACCCCAGGTATTGCCACAAAATTCTAAAATGTGATTGGCTTTTGTGGCATTGTGATGACACATTATTTCACAAGAAAACTGTGAGTACTTTTTTTTAGTAGTAGTGAAGTAACACCTGCATAATAACTTTATGCTTGTAGGTAATGAAAAATAGGAGGAAACTGCAGTGTGTACCGCATACTCATATTACTAGAATCAATTGTACCCAAATTGCCGATTCTTATTTCAAGCAAAGTAAACTCATAGTAGGAAAGCAATTTATGAATGCTCGCGAGTTTCTCTGTTACGAATTAGTCATGAACCAGGTGCATGGTTTTTATCAATACTGAATGAATAAAACCATCAACTATTTAAAACAGAAAAGGGTTGATAAAAATGTGATACAAAGCCATTGAGTTAATTAGAAATTGAATATAAAACTAGTGATTGAAACGACCACATCAGACTTAAACAATATCATGTGAAGTAACACTGAACACTGTGTGGAGAATTTATTATCACCCAGCTCATTTAAAACAAGGGTGTTAGGCTTTTAACTTTTTACAACACACAATAAACAAAGAGTCAAAGGAGACGACATAACTCATTTCTAACTTGTGCCTATTAACTTTTATGGCTAGTTCTAGATTAACTGAAGGAATAGTTAGAGATGTTTACAATTAACTCATTTACTTTTATGCTGCAGGTCAGTTTATTATTTGATATAATCTTTAGGTCCATGCAGTAAATATGACCCTAAAAGCAACCATTAGCTTAGCATAAAATAAACAGCCAGCAGTCTGTACAAAGGTAACTAAACACATTCACCAGCACTGAGAAAGCTCACTCATTAATACATTACATCTCATTAATCTTCACTAGGACTGACTCCCTGTTCACACACCACGGGAAACACAGTGTCACATCTAAATTGGCCTGACTTTTGCTAAAAAATGCTAAACATTTTATAACCAGAAGAATATTATAAAAAAATGGCAAAGAAGGCCGGAATCCATGGGGGCGGGTGTCTATAGTCTAATTGAGTATTGCAGTTAGACTATATAAAAGTGTTCTCTATTAAACCACAGCTAATCTTAAAAATAAGATCCTTTTTATTTTTAAGGTTTTTTTTTCCGGTCATAACAGCTCTTTCCCCACACTTCTATAAAGGGTGCAGATTATTTTATGTTTTTTGTTTCGCTTTTTCCTTCAGGGAACGAACTCTGACAGCCCAGACCATCATCTCTCTGGAGGTCCCGCAAGGCTCGGAGGACGAGGAGGAAACTAGACGAATGTCAGGAGTTCCCCATGAGATGGACACGTCTGAGTGATATGGAAAATGCCTGATGTGAAAAAGCATCATCAGGATCCCGTCAGTCACAGGACCACTAAAATTTGTGTTCTCAGCTGAGGCCTTGAGGAACTGAAAGAGCCTTGTTGGAATTTATTATCCACTTCTACAAGTTTTGTCCTCACCAGAGAGTGTAATATTTTGCTGTATTTTTTAGCTATGGTCACACATTGTAGCCATGCTGTCGGCAACAACGAACAAAGAACAAAGACAATATGGTTTCAAAGACATCAGCAGTAAACCTTCTGAATACGTTTTCTATTAAGCTTCAAGCCTTAGATTGAAGCTTCTTCAGATCTCAAGTTCTCATGACTTAAAATAAAAACAGACCTGCATCATTTGGGATTACAAAGTCTGGGATGGAGGATGTACTTTAAGTTATTGTCTGGTGAATGTTGTGTCGAAAGTTTTTTCTGTAACCTTGTGAATATTAGAGTTTTTACTTCAATTGTTGTGATGCAGCTGAGAATTAGACAGAAATACTTTTCACTACATGTTAAATGTTAGGTGTTTGATTGACTGATTGTGTTGTGTGTCAATGGTTATAGGAGGGTCGATGCTAAAAAAGTTAGCAGTTGTGTGTGAGGGTACACATTACTTGCTATTGGACCAAAAAGCACGGTAACTGTTAGTCTAGCTTAAATGAGCAATAAGCTGCTTGCAAATTTAAAAACAAAAACGCTAACACAGCTTCACACGCCGCATAGCTTCAGAAAGACCATTGTTTGACAGTTTCCTTTTCCTGTCTTTACTAAGCTAAGCGAACTGGATCATGGCATTAGCTTCACATTAAAATTATACCCTTTAGTAATATTGTTGTTTTGGGTTGTTTTTTTACATCTAGCTTGCTAAGTCTCTGTAAAAAAGGTTACTTAGCAAAATAATGACAAAGTAATGAAAAAAAAAATTTGCTCTTTAATAGCAATAGTTTAATAGCTTCAGTTTTACACAATTTTGAGCTAGCATTAAGCACCCTGGAATAAATAAGCCTCAAAATCCTACTTTTCTAAAATCCTTGACTGAACGCACTAACTTTGATTTACAGATGTAAGGGAGCAGAAAATTTGGTTATTGGTGACCATTTCCATTTTTCCTGTCCTAATGTTAAGCTAAGCTAACTGTTAAGTAACTTTATTTAGCTAACTACATCTCAGCATGAAAATAATAAACATACCCGTAACTAGCAAAATGTTTTACTTTCTCTTAAGGAAAATGTGCTGAACTTCTGACATTTGCTGCTAGCTAAAAGTCCCTGGAGAATTAATGGGCATGAAAATGACCACTTTATTTTAAAGCTAAGTTTCGACTGACTGTTTCTTATTCAATGTTTACCAAAACAAAATACATCAAATATATAGTGCAGGAAGACAGACTGTCGGTTTGGCTTCACAGTTGCTGACAAACTTCGGAATAACATTTTAAATCAGACGCTTGTACCAAGGGGAATTACAGTGTTCAACCGCAGGAACGGTAAAGTGTGGGCAGAGGTCTTGCCATCTCACGTGCTCACAGTACCAACACCTTAATACTCAATTGAGTGGTGCATGTTGGAAAGAAAGGCGTTCACATTTCTGCACATATGCCACAAGCAGCCTTTGAAAAGCGAGGCTCTTGATGGCATCCCTGTAGCACTCTTTCTGCACTGGAAGAGCTGCAGAAGTGAAAGCAAACTTGCAGAAATAGGAAGTGAGTTTGGCGGGATGTAAAAAACTTAAGAATTTTTTCTGTCTTTGAACTGAGCTTCAACAGTGGCGTTCCTCTTACAAGTTACTAAAACTTTCACAAAAGACGCCTTAAAAGTCAACAAGTTGTTGTCCTCTAAAGTGAATCGTTCAAAACAAACATCTCAAGAATAAGGACTTGCCAACAATTGTATCTCCTTTGTTATTATGCATATCTGACAAAAGGTTTGATGAATTCAGTTTATTAATCCCAACTAGAGAGCATTTTGCACACAGAAAAAAACTTGAAGTAGATCTGCAAAAAACAAAAAAAACACGGTGAGACAATCATCTGTCACCTTCAGACACATTCTTACACTGTACAACATCCTTTCAAATGCACATGATATTATCCCTTATTTAACCAGCAGCATGCTGAGTAAGTACTCTACAGGACTGTGGCTTAAACAGCAGCATTGTTTGTCCCCATAGAAGTTAACGTGAAGGCAAGAATGTGCAGAACTAACTTAAGTTTGATAAATGCTTGAACACACTTTGATGGAAAGGATTATAGTTACTATACAAGAGATGATTTCTTAGAAGTTTCAGGTTTATTTTCAACACTTACAGTTAATGAGTTACCCTTCAACAGAGGTGACGGACATTTGCATTGCAGGACTGAAGTCGTCTTAAAAAAACAAAAGCTCAAACCTCTCGTGAAGTTTTGAAGCTCTGTGGACCGGTTTGTAAGGCTTGAGGTTTATTGCTCCTGGCACTAATGTTTCTGTGATGAGCATGGAGTAAGCTTATTCAACATGCAGAAAGGCATTAATGAACATAAACACCACACTGGTATATACATTTGATCTTGACTAGTGTGTAAAGAAGTGAAAACATTACAGAAGGAAAAAAAATCACACCTGTTGTTTCGAATACAAAGTTACATAGATGAGTTCACAGATTCTTTTGTTGACTGGCATCCAATGTTGTAGTTCGTACCGAGAAAACAAAAATACCATCACTTACTGCTTACTACAATCATTATGTAACGACTGAATAGATGATCAGCTACAGTCATGAGGGCTGAGAGACAGCCGACTGGAAGCTTCACATTTGAGTCATCAGCTGTTTTACATGCAGATAAGAGTGGGGAAGAAGTCCATGTCCTGTCACCCACTGACGATTTTAAATCCATTTCTGTTCACATACATTTAAGCTCAAATTGAGAACAACATCCCAAAGTGCTGAAACCTTGAGTTGCGTTTGAATAAATATATTGGTAGGGTTCAAAGAGATTGAAAATAAATACAATTGAAATATCTCAGCACGACGCTACAGACTAGGATTCACTGAGCCTCTGGTTGATGATACAACTGAGAGCCTGTAGTTAAGTTTCACTGATTAAAACGTGTGATGAAGCACTGATGGTGATAATCAACTTGTCTGAGAGGACTAGGCATACATGACCGAGAGCCTGCTTAAGAGATCCAGAAAGTAAAAAAACAAAACAAAAGAAACAAAAAACCGGACAGACATGGAGATATGAGGGGAGTGTGTTGCGTTTAGAATCCCAGAGGGTGAGGAGCCACCACACCACCGTTCTGCACCACGGCAGAAGAGATGGCCTGCAGGTTCTTGAACAGCTGTTTGGACTCACTGGAGTGCAGAGCCTTCAGGTCTCGCACGATCCTGTCGTAGGCCTGAAGAAGAAAGGGAACATTCAGTGAGTTCCTTTTTTTTTCTTCTCAAAATCATTTCTTAAGATGACAGCAGCTACGTTGGGCAGCGAGACTGAAGGTGCATGTACTGTTAGGCATTTACACTAGTCTTGAAAATCCAAAATATTCTGTGATTGACGTAGCATTAGCTTCATTAGCTTGTCATTCCTTTTTTTCTGCAGATAGTTGATGACAGAGAATTGAAATAGGGCTGTATTTGTTTATGGTTTTATTGTTATTGCATAGCAAAAGTCTGAATTTACAGCAATAAATATTAAAGATTTTTTTTCATAAAAGAAGCTTTGATTTTTCATTGAGCATGTGTACTATTTTTATCAAACCGTGCAGCCTTTAAAGGGCTCAAAAGCGTTGTTCCAGAAGTAAAAACCCAATTTATTTACTTCATAGCCAATTTGATTATTAGCCATAATGTCATAACCATCCAAAGTAGACTGATCACAAGCTAACCGTGTGTGAAACGAACGTATATGCTCGTGTGAAAGATACAAGTCAGTATATCAACCTCGTTTTAAGAAAAACATGGTTCAACCTCCTGATAGAAAGATTTTGTAAAATGTCAATGGAGGATCTGAATGGGGAAATATACTTCCGGAACCAGAGCTGCCAAAAAAAGTTGGTGGTCACTGTTGATTGAAGCCACTCTCATGTATGTTAAGTATATGCCAAAGCTAGCTAGCTGAAAGCTAACTAAGTTTAGCATATAGAGCAGACAGAAGGGCACACAGCTAGCTCGGCACTGTCCAGGCAACATGCCAGCCATTCAGCATTTCTATCAAAGCAGTCATAATAGTTATAATGGTAAGTATCTCATTTTAAAAGCTGGACCTTAATAGTACTTTTCAAAGAAAAAAAAAAGACCAGTAAACGACTGGCAATCTAATCCCGTTACTGATTTTCTTTCTCAACCTAACCGAGTTTCCTCATGCAGGCAGACATGTTTCAGGCTTTGACTGAGCTCTTACCTCCACACACCAGGTCTCACACAGAACCTTCTCATGCTGAGCTGAGGGAGAGCCCCGACTCAGAGAGCGTGAAGCTCTGCAGGGGAAATAAGAAACACAAAAGAAATGTCAAGTTCAGGAAGTGTAGGTGTGGAAATGAGGGATAAAAGTTGTCAAAAAGCCTGTGAGTGGGAGTAAATAAAAAAAAAAGTTAGAGAGGGAGAGTTTTATTTGCTATAGTTTGAGTGTCTGTGTACCTGGACAGAACAGTAATCATGGCGTAGAGGTCGATGGCACTGTCTGCCACTCTCTTCAGTACAAACTGTTCATCTGCAACAAAAGAAATGGATTATTGAGATGAGGTTTAACACCATTACATAAAGTGAAAGAAGTAACCACAAAGTGCTATCACTTGTACACCTATCACACACTCACCGATGATCTTCTTGCCATGTTTTATCAGCAGGTCCTCGATGACTCCTCCGAACTGCTCGATGGCTTTTGTGGTCTAGATATTGAAATGGAAAAATGACTTACGTTACTTTGGAAAAAATAAGCAACAAGAAGGAAATAAACTAGCTTTCAGTTAGACCCAAAACTGTACGTGCCCAGCAAACTGTCACTAAGACATCTTTCCAAAGGGGCTTTTCTCTGAGCCCCTGAATCATTGGCCTTTAAAAAAGGAAAATGTTTGAAACACAGAAATACAAAAAAACTGTAACACACCAGTTCTCCGCTGTGTGCGAGCTCAGGATGAACAGTCCCCTGCAGGGTCAGTCCTGTCCCCAGTCCTGCCTTTCTACAGAGACAATGAAGGGAGACAAAAGGTGTTAAAAGTCGTCAGTGGAGGTACAATCACACTTTTTTTTTTTTTACATTCATAGTGTGGGGTAGCACAACTGGACCATTTTCAATCCTGTTCTACACTCGATGTGTTCTACGCAGTGTCGATGGGTCATGACATGTTATTCTAAGCACATTTAAGATAAGGTTCAAATGTCCTACAAACACTTTTAGGTTCATTCTTGTAATTCTACTGTTCAGAGCACTGTCTGTTCTTCCTGCAGGTCAGTGTTAATGCCTTTATAGAAAATGTGGGCAGGACAAAAAACAAAAAGAAATTAGCAGTCACAGAACGATCAAAACAAGCTCAGAAAGCACTTAAAATCCTCTTCACACACTGAGCTCAGCACTAACTCAGCTGCTATGGGAAGCTTTCAGTCTCTAAAGAGTGAAGAGTGCGGGGAATTGTGACAATGAGTCGTCTTTGAGCATTTGCTCACCAAACCTAGAGCTGCATCGATTTCTTTATGTCTTTTAGCTCTAATGTAATGGAGGATTGAATGAAAACAACAATATACTGGATGCTTTTACAATATGAAATCATGGAATGTAAGAATGACATTAAAGTCAGTAAACCAGATTCAGCATGTATCATACGTGACAAAGGAAGTCCCTGTCTCCCACCGCTGTGACAGGAGGAGACAGAAAAGAGAGAGTGAAGTGTGTGTGCATGTGGAAACCTTTTGGCTCTCTTGGTGAGTTCTCCAGCGAGCAGCCCAGCGTTGCCGATGGGGTTCTTCAGGGCCTTCTGTAAGCTCTTCAGCTGGGTGCCAGCACTCTGCAGGGAGGAACACAAGATTCATCAGCAACAGAGCTAATTCTTAAAAGCCCTGACAACATGTTCATCAGTCAACTCCATTCTGCAATCTATCTGCAGCCTTCATTGTGGAGAAATCCCTGAGTGTTCTGGCCGCATCTGAAGAGTTCAAATAAGCCACAGAGGAAGAAAAGTATCTGTGATGTTCTCGGTGTTGTTCTTTGATGTGCCGACCCTTCATAATTACGTAAAGCCATGCATGTGTTGTATTATGACGTTATGTACGAGAGGTAACAGTGCTCAGGCCCGGTTAGTCCTGGAGCAGTGTGAGCGCAGGAGAGTGGGGGAATGGGGAGGGGCAATCAGGCTTCAGCACAGTACAGGACAACTGGGCTCAGTGTGATTGCACCCTATCTAAAGCTTCTTCTGCAGCATTAAGTGGAAAAACAAACAATGCAGTGATCAAGCAAAAATCATTTTTTTTGGATTGGCGATGTTTTAAAGTATTGGGCTTCAAACTAATGACTCTGGGCCAATGTTGATGTGTTTGGAGTGCTTTGTAAGACGAAAACAAACAGACCACAGGTCCCTGGTGTAGAATAACTACTGTATAGAGAAGTTGCAACTCAGAAGATGCAACGGCTTCTCATAAAAAAAGTACATGGGAAGTAATGTTGAGAGTTTCAGACAGTAAGCAGAAAGAAGAAAAAAAAAACTTCCTCTCTGTAAGACATCTGTACTTTTCCACCCAGACGTTTTTCAGATCTCTGAGTCAGAGAGAGGAAACACTATCAGAGAACTTTACCTGGAAGCCATTGAGGGCCACAAAGAGCCTCAGGATATCGTTGGTGCCCTCGAAGATACGGAAGATTCTCAGATCCCTCATCACTCGCTCCACTCCGGCATCCTGCAAACGCAGAACAACATGATGACTCTGTACTTTTGTGTGATAGAGTAAAGCCAAACGACAACTGAAATAATCACATTTATCTGTACATCACTGTTGAGAGAGAGAATGAAGCTAATCAAGCATTTCTCAGAATACTCTGCTGTGACCTTCCCTCTTGATTTCAGTCCTTTAAATCTTTATATAAGCCCATTTGTATTTTCATATTGAGTAAGAAAACTACAAAACAAGCTGGGTGAAGGATCAAATATCTGACAGAAACAGGAGCTCTGTCAGTAAGCATCGTGCACGAGTTTCTGCATGTGAAAGTGACAGTTGTTATTTGAAGCTGCAAAGTTGATGCATTTCTGGCCGTGAGAGCAGAAATGAAAATGTTCAGGGATTATTTCTGACTCTTTGCTGAAATGAAACTGTGAGTCAAAATGTGTATTGTGAGCATTCAAGGCTGTCATATCGATGCCCCCCCTCCCCCCTTCCTTCCTTTGACACACACACATGTTCACATTAACCTCTAAAAACATGAAGTGGGCAGAATAACAAAAACATTAGCACGATAATAAGTGCAAGGTTTAAATGGCACAACTCTAGGAATGTCTTTGCGTGTTCATTGTTCTGTTGTGAAAGAAAGTTGCATTTAATTGTCAGCCAAATGTAAGTGTGATTTTGAAGTGTTCCATGACTGATCAAAAGTTTCCATTGAGAAACTAGCAAAGCGTCTGTACCAGAGGTGGCGTCTAGTTTATTTTAAGCAGAGCGACACTTTGTTAACATGACAGTCACCCCTCTGGGGACATGCCCCCGTACCCTCAGCTGGCTTGTACCGGTCTATTCTAGAGAACTGATGTGTTTTTTACCTGATAGAAAAAACAATGTCCTCATTGTGGTATCTCACCGGACACAGTATACCACAATGGCATGGTGGCTCATTATTGTGAAACTACAAAAACACTCAATGTCATGAAGAACACACAACAACAGAGCAGGCGTGATGTTTTTTTTGTCTCAATGAATGTTTATTCTGTTTCTGATTTGTTTTCCCCATATTAAATCAGCTGTTAAAAGTTGTTTTGTAGTTCACCTCTCATTCTTGCTCGATTTAAACTTGACTCTGACTCTTGTCCTGCTTATAAACTGCTGATGTATAGCCATGGCTGATTGTGTGAATCCATGCTGTGTAGAAGTCGTAGCACACTTTAGTGAGTAGTGTTCAGCAGTGCAATCATGCATCAGGAACTAGTTCATTACTTTAGAAACTATTTAAACCTGGTAAGATTTTTAAATTTAAAAAAAAAGATTCCAGGGTTTCCTACAGGTTCAAATAAGTAAGAGAAAATAAGAAATAAGAGAATGTGAGCAAACCAAGCATGAACCAATACCTTAAAGATCGCTCAACATGTGTTGCTCAACAATATTCCACCGGGTTGTCGATGCAAAAAAAAAAAAAAACTTTTTTAATTTTTTTAATGAAAGACCAAAAATAAAACTAGTTTAACTTCTAGGGTCTAATGTTTTTAGTCATGCAGCTTCACACTGGTTCCCTGATTTGTGTTCAACAGGACGTGGACTTAGTGCTCACCTTCATGTATCCCATGCCGCCCATAACCTGCACACACTCATCAGTCACTTCCCAGGCTGCTTCCTGTCACAGCGGAAGTAGAAAGAGAGGACACAGAGAGATGCAGGTGAGTTTTTTCTTGGCTAAACACAAACTCAAAAAATCATGTTAGTTCAGAAAACAAGCCTGGAGGCGTTTACTTCCGCTCCTCAAGGCTTCAGGCTTCCACAAAATAAGGAACATTGTAAACATTATGCAAGAGGTGCAGGACTTCCCTGAACCCTCACTTGTGTAAGAAGTCAATTACTGTACGATAAAAAAAAAAGAGATAAAAGTACAGAAACATGGAAGATATTTCTTAAATGGGCGCAATCGGCCATTCTGGGACCCTTTAGCACTTCCGGTTTGCAAGTTAAATCAAAGAAACAGTGTTGTGAGTTCTTACAGAGGCAAAGATCTTGCTGATGGCAGCCTCGATCTGAAATTCAGTTGCTCCGCTGTCCATGTTGCCGCTGATCATGTAAGCCATTGACTGCAAAAATACAAAGGAAGTGAAGTCAGCATTATCCAATAACATCGGGTTACTTTGTATTATTGTGTAATGTTGCATAATCAAACAGCTTAAATATAAAGGGGCTATATGTTTAAAACATCCACACTAAAAAAGAGCTGATCAGCAAAGAAATAGACATAACTATTGATTATCTTTGTGCTTCTTTAAAACTAGGAGATGGAGCTTAACGAGTATATTGTGCCGCTGCATGGAGCCGCATATCTATAAAACAGGAAATACTGCCTGATGTTAGAGGAAGTGGTTTGGTCGAAGTAATCTGTATCAGCATATGACAAAAAAGCAGAGATAAATGTAAAAAACTGAATCAGCATGGTTTGTAAACTCTGACCTCAGTAACATACTGCAGCACAATCATGCGAGCGATCTTCTCCTGGATGGCGCCGTAGTTGTGGATCTTGTTTCCAAACTGGGTTCTGTTCACTGCGTGATCCACCTAGTGGAAAAGAGGAAGCATTGCAGTCACTGTCTGTCACACAGCACTCACACTTGCTCATCATTTCAGAGTTCAAACACTCTTTAAGGACACTTTGTCTTTTGGTCCCTGTCTAAGTGTTTTTGTTTCTATTTTTCCTATGCATGAAGAGGAAGTGGGGTCATGCCGTCTGTAACCCAACACGTGAAGGGGGCGGGGCCAGAGTTGTGGTGCGTCTAACACTGAGGCAGAGGCTCGACATGTGTGACCACACAGTTTCTCTGGTTTCAAAACTGTAAACAACAATGGTAAAGATCAGTAAGCTGACAGTACAAACTCATGAAATGTCTGTCTTAATAATCAGAGGGGACAGTCGTGTGTATTTTATACCTACTTACTGGAAAAAATGAAATGAATGCACCTCTCTAACTTTATCTAAAAACTGTTTCCTCTTCACACCGAGCAACAGATTGATTTTCTTTACTTTCTGCACCTCTCTCTTTACACATTTCACTGAAGTCACCTTCATTCACAGCACTCTCCTAGGTACATTTAGAGAAGAATCCCAACAGTCATCAGCACTATTAGATTAAAAAAAAATGTCAGAATTAGTGCTGGGCGATATGGACCAAAACTCATCTTGATATTGTTAGTCCCTCGCGGCGCCTTCTTTTTGATGACCTGCTCAAGCCGATATAGCCGCGATAGCTTTAAAGCGCTACATGTATCGATAATGTCTTTGTTACATGAATGCCGTGCAGTACGGAGGATTTACATTTACTAAAATCAACGAGAACTTTAATGAGTCCCTTGTGTTGAAATCTTAAAAGTGCAACAACTTATTTGGCATTAGCTGCCTTCTGATCTGAAATTGACTGGACTGATTCCTGCACAGTAAAATGTGTGTCATGTGTCATCAGGTGTGAAGTGATGTCACTTCACGACGCAAAATCACAACAACGTGTGAGTGTGTTTTAGCTGTGACGTGAAAGAACACATCACAGCACATGAGGCAGCTCATTTATTCTGTCTCTGCTGAGTGTTAGTCGTGTGTTTGTGTTACAGCATCAGTGACAACTTAAACCCGCGCAGAAAGAAGAAGAAACGTGAACAGAGCACGCTTCAACCTTTGGCGCCAGTAACCTCAGCAGGAAGTTGCGAGGTAGAGACACACCACAGTAGCTACTAGTCAGGGTGTTTCCCATAAACCCACACCGTGAAAAATACCAGACTAAGTGAAGTGTGACACAGACGATACAGATAATGAGTCTGTAAAATAAGCTCATCTTATCCTGCTTCAACTCTGTTTCTCAAGCTCGTCTACTCACAGCTTTAGCGATGACGCCCTTCATGGTGCCGGAGAGCGCCGCCGCCATGCCGAAGCGTCCGTTATTCAGAATGTTCATGGCCACCTTGAAACCTCCGCCCAGCTCGCCCAGCAGGCAATCAGCCGGCACGCGAACATTATCAAAATAGACCTCGGCTGTGTTGGATGCCTTGATGCCCATTTTCTTCTCTGGTGGACCGCTGTGGTGAAAAAGGGGGGGGGGGGGGGGTAAATAAATATCACGCCACAGTCGAGGTCATTAAAAAGTGAATAAGGGGAGGGGGAAAAAGTGTGCTCACTGTGTCACTCCTCCAAAGCTCTTCTCCACGACGAAGGCAGAGATCTTGTCCTTCATCTCGCCGGTCTTTGGATCCTTCATGGGCGTCTTGGCGAACACGGTGAAGATTTCAGCAATGCCGCCATTGCTGAAAGGAGAAAAAGGGGGCCATCAGATATTGTAATAAAAGACCTGCTACCAATTTAGTTGTTCAACTCCGCCCCCTTGTGGCAAAAGTAAAAACACACACTGATTAGGTCTAATGTTCCTGTGTGCCCTCACCTGATCCAGATCTTGCTTCCGTTGAGGGTGAAGTACTTTCCACAGTCGGACTGGACTGCCACGGACCGGATGGAGGCGGCATCAGAGCCACTGGCCGGTTCAGTGAGACAGAAGGCGGCTACATGCTCACCTGCAAAGATAACACACACACACACACACACAATACATAAAGTCTCTTCTCTTTTGTCTTATCTTAAAAACACATGAGCATGATGACACTGAAGGATCAGTCTGGATCGCTTTATTATTGTTAAAAAAGACTTCTTAAACCTTTCAAGATTCTTATATTTGCAAAAGATGTCTGAAATGTTAATGCTGTGCAAATCTGCTATGTCAATACTCTGTATTTTGCAGTCCAAATGTAATATGTATCATCATGTCTGGCCGATCACGAAGGCATGAGCGGATATTAATCCAGTGCAAATATGCAAATCAGTGATGTGAGATGCTTTGGCACATTTTTTGTGTTTTTCTTTTTTGTGTTGTTTTGCCTGTCCCTCTTCTCAAAAATGAAAAAAGGCTGCATTGAAAACGTTGATAAAGATCCTCTATCGACACAGCACGGAGATGGATTCACACAGAAAAAGAAGCTTTAATCCACCAGAGGGGGCAAAATCTCAAATGATGCGCATTTGTGAGCCTTCAACATGCTCAAATTGATCATTTATTGCAAAAAAAAAAAAGGCATTTACTGCCTGATTTGCGTCAGTAACAGAACGGAGCAACAGAGCATAGGATGAGTGTGCTCTAAATATCCTGTTCTGAAAAGTACTGAAAACTGCTCGAAAGACCATGTCCAACGTTTAGAAGTATTTATGTCAGACTTCTTTTGGATTTCTTCGTCTTTCCCTTGGTTTGTGATTTTATGATCTGCCTTGCCTTTGTAACTTTGATTATAGATTTTCATCAATGAGCTGACAGTAAGAGACTTCACTTCATTACAACATCTGAGTCAGGAAGATTGTTCTCTGTGAGTTCTCTGAGTTTTTAAAGCAGATTTGAACTCCTCTCTTTTTATTTTTAGCCATTTGTCACAGTTATAGCTTTCACTTTATATGTGCACAATTAGAAGCATCCAGTTGAATGTCCTACAGATGAGACTGGAGGAAAGTGTGGGTTGTTATATTATAAGTGTTTTCACGCCCTCTTTCATCTTTCATTCAGAACAACTATAAACACTTTGACGTCTTTTAGCTAAAGTCATCATGTCCCTTCTTTGATTGGCATCACCAGGACGGTTTGAGCTGTTTTGCCGACCGTAATTAAAAAGTATATATAAAAGCCTTATCCTAGCATGTTTGCTATTGATCAAAGAGCTACACGTTGTTTAGAAGATGCACATAAATCAAGACACTGACGACATGTAATACTGGTCTTCTTACCCGAGGCAAGCTTCGGCAGGTACTTCTCCTTCTGGGCTGGATTCCCAAAAAGCAGGATACCCTTGAATCCGATGGACTGGTGGGCACCCAGAGTGATGCCGACACCCAGATCATAGCTGCCGACGATCTCGACAAGACGGGCGTACTGTGATACGGATGATTGTATTAGACGCATTTACACAACGGCCTTCAGTTGACGTGTAACGCAGAGCAGATATGCAACTCGTGATCAAACCTGCGTGTTCGAGAGGCCGAGACCACCCAGGTCAGCGGGAACCTGCAGGCCAAAGGCCCCCATCTCCTTCAGGCCCTCCATGGTGTGATCCTCCACCTTCTCCAAGGCATCGTTCTTGGCGGCGTCATTCACCTCCTGCCAAAACACAAAGCGTGCCTGGGTCAGAATGAGAGATTTTGGAAAAGGCTGTGAACTTCAAGTCGGACAATTTATCTCAAGGAAAAAAAAAAGTTTGAAATTGACCTCGAAAAACTTGTTGACCGGCCCCACGAGCTCACGGAGAAACTGCTCCTGCTCGTCGTTCATGACTAAAGCACAAACACAAGTCAATGAACTACAGCAGACATGTTTTACACCTTCACAGAGCTTTTAAATGATTCATTCTTTCAAACACATATTAACACTTTATCATCCGTTATACCTGAGGGGTAGGGAAACACTTGGGCAGTCTGAATCTGGCCTTTGAAAAGGTTGACAGCGAAAGACTTGGATTCCTGTGGTTAAAAAAAAGGTCAAACAAAGAGTGTAAACAGTCAGTATGCACATGTCATGACACCCTCGGGTGCTTCCTTGTCAATAAAAGATGTTACGCTTGTTTAAACAGCAGTTCTGTAACATTCACGCTCTCATTCTACTGTATCTTTACTGAATCTATGTAATCTTTTGTATAAGTGTCCGTGTGACGAGCTTGAAGAGGAGACGATCACAACAAAGTGTAGCGCTCAAGATGTCTGATGTACAATGCAACCAGCTGTTGTTACGTTGCTATGGTAACTGGAGCTGCAGTTAGATAATAAGAGGACAATGTGTTTTAAATAGTTTTGATAACACATAAGAAGAAGAGAAAGGTAAATAACTTACAGTAACCACTGCCTTCTTTTCAACTTGAGCTGCAGCCTCAGCGCCCACGGCCGCAGGTTTCTCCAGCACGGCCTGAAGGGAGAGGGTAGAGAACAGACAGAAAGCAAATAAGTTAAAAAAAAAAAGAGCTTAAATAAACATTCAGTGAGTAATAATACACATTGTGTGTTTACTGAACCTACACTGCAAGCTATCTGAGGAACATTCTTTGGAATGGAAATGCTGATCATTTAGAAAGCTAACACAAGCTAACCGCTGCTGTCTGGCACCGGGCCGTCCAGCAGAAAGCAGAACAATCCACGTGCGCGGGGGCGTGGGCCAAACAAAGGTTCGCGCTCATTTTAGAACGAGCGTTATCCACGGGCGATTAGCCTCACTATGGCTATATTTTTTTCTCTTTTTACGTCCGAAATATTCTCTGATTTGAATGGCGTCCAATTGCTGAATTTGATCCACTCCTTAATTCACCTGCAGGCTGTCATTGGCTCCCTGCCCAGTAACGTCCTGAGTCAAACAGAACATCTAAATACACTCAGAGGACAGAGTCGCCACTGCACATGAACGGAGGCCCCTACGGGATGACTGAGCAGCATTACTTTGCATAAGTCTATATATTTTACTCTTAAGGAAACAGCTACTGACTCTACCTTTAAGTGAAACAACGCTTAAAGATGACAGTGTGCTGTTCATCCCTGAAAATAACGGGCTCGTGATTCGAATCCGCAGTTACGAAACAATGAACTGATAATGTTTGTAATTCTAGCGAGGTCATCCCAAAAGTTTAAAAACAGTGTTTCCAGGACTTATAGGTCAGATCAGCTTCACACCCTCGATGACACCACTCTGTGTCACGATATTATCTGAAAGTGAAGGGTACTTTAAGATGGGAAAATGTGTTTGTCATCATAGGACAGATTATTTTTCAATCTATTCTACAGAATAACCTCCAGAATAAACTGGTTTTTAAAACGACATGTTAACAAAGGTCAAGTATATCATCATACCACCACCGGTACAGTTGGGTACTACAAAAGTATTCTGTACTCAATAACACTTAATTACAGCAAGAAAAAAAGCAAAAGAAAAAAAGCATTGAAGCTCCCAATCCTATCAGTGCAACACATTTGTCACCACTTCTTACATCTTTGTCTTTTTGAGGACAGAAAAACGAAACATCAAATATGACTGCTGCTCATAAATAGCATCTTGACAAACTCTTATCTGGCGGGCAAACAGCTGATAAAAGACTGAGGGATCATGGACTGGCCGCCACAGAGTCCAACACTGAATATAACTGATGTAGCACCTGGGCAGAGAAAACAACAAAAAGACAACCCTAACGTGAACCACAAGATCACTGTTACACAAACAAATGTACACATGCGTCTAAGGCACTAATACAAAGTGGAAACTACATCATCCATGTGGTACAGAGACACAAAACATAAACTTTTGTGTCACAAATCAAATCTGCATCGAGCATTTGTCCTGAACAACCAGTCACCCACTTTCATGGAGTCACCTTTATGGCACCATGTGACCAGTGAACTTTCCCCCACTTCCAGCAGGGGCTGTCAGTGTTATGTCAGCCAGCATCTAATGCCAAACAAGGACAACCAGCAGCCTCCTTATTATCACTCAAACACCGAGTATTTAACAAACAGGACATTATTATAATTGTCAGTGTGGTTTATAGTAAAATGCTGTTACCTCTGCAGCCTGGGATGCGTAGAGACGAGCACTTTGAGCAGCGACAGCAGCTCCTGCATGACGCTGACCTCTGTAGACACACAATTTGAAAAAGGTGGTTTTTCACTAGTTTAAGTTCACAGTGAAGTTACACACCTGAAGCACGACTTTAAGCCTTACTTACCCGGACAGGACGGGAGGAATCCTGAGAATGGCGCCGCACAGGGCGGAAGACTGGCTCACTTTACGAAGCAGCATGATCCCGTTTGATCTTCAGAAACAAACCAAATATTTAGCTTTTAAACAGCTCAAAAAAAAGGTCACCAAACAAAGACTGACACCAGAGAGATAAGCTAACAGGTAAATAGTCCGGTCAGGTAAGGAAGCTAGCAGCTAGCTACGTACAGTAATGACGCTGTCTTGTTTGATAACTTGTTCAGCCTCTCGCTTAAAACAGGGAAACATAATAACCCACTTTATTGACTTAAATAAAACAAACACAAAGGATATCAATGTGTAGTTCTTACCTGAGCAAAATTAAAGTATGACACGTCCCGCTATGTCAGCGCTGGATCAGACTGTTCCTCCAAATGACCCACTACAGTTTTACCTAATTTTGCCTGCAAAAGCAAAGCTGGGTTCCCCGGATGCAGCCTGTCACGCCGAAGTGCTCCATGGGATATGTAGTTTTTAAAGACATGTTCTGATGAATGGTTCTTTCTGTGATTCCTGTATTTCTGTTCATTGTTGTTGAAGTGTTTTATGTCTGAAACCCTGTAATCGTGCTGCTGCTTGTCTCTTGTAAAATAGATTTTTGATCTCAATTAGACTTTTTCCTGGTTAAATAAAAAAAAAAAAAAGTATAGACTGGTTTGAGTTGGAAGTTTTCTCCGAGGAGCAGAAGCTTATAAAGTACACACAAGGACGTTACCTTGATAAATCTTTTGCCTTCCCTTGGCCCTCTTAATTTTCTTCTTCCTCTGCTTCTGAAAGGTCAAAAACGTCCATATAACCCACAGACTGGAAATAGTTACCACACAGTGCAGTGCACAGATAAAGCTGTCAGCATCACATACATTTCAATACAGTTTTCTTCTGGAGAGGCGCATATTTTTTGTTATTAGTTGAGGTGTTCTGTCACTTTTTCCGCACCGTAATAACCATTGTATAAAGATTGAGCAGTAGTATTACCGGTATATCAACATGCTTATCGCTCAGTGCAAAGGGAAATTCATGAATAAAGGAGTTTTGAAAGACAACAATTTTGAAGTAGTATAACACTGAGAGTGCACACATTAGTCCACGACTGGCCCAATACAAAAATACAACTGATGTATACAGAAAATGACTATTTAGTTTGACTAAGAAAATAAGATTTTAAAAAAAGTTGAAGAAATATTATGACAAAAATGCAGCTTTTGGGTGCATAAATATGGAAAATACAAGTTTTACTACATAATTGTGCTACGCAAAAGCATATTCCATATCAGCATACAGAATGATCATACGTCTATAACACCAAGCATTAAAATGAATTAAAAAAAAAAAAGTCAAACAGAATGCAAGTATCAAATTTATTCTCAAATACACAAACAAAGGTGGTGATATGAAATCAAACATGACACAGTCAATGTCATTCTTTTTGAAATGTTGAGTCTTCATTTAGCACCTTAACAGTTTGGTTATACATGATTTATATAGTCACTCATACAAAAATGAAATGGGTGAATAATGCGAGTCAGTAACATAAAAATAAGTATGGGGAGCTGGGGGCATTTGGATCACAGTAACTTTAGATGTACACAGAATGTAATCAAAAAGTACCGCTGTCAGCCATCTTTTTCCTATTAGTACCTTTAAGCCTCTACAGTCCCACACCAACAAGTCATTACGATTAGAGTTATTGACGACTAGGCCTAGGAAGTGATTACTAAACACAAGTTCACCTGACATTCTTGGACCTATTTTCTTTTCACATTAGCTGTTCTGTGTCATTGCATTTACAGAAGAGTAGTAGATATATACAGAGGTTCATTGTCAAACAATGTTGGAACATAATGAGTTTTTTTTTTTTATTAGTGACCAGGAGTGTGAAAAATGTCTCTTAAAACTGGAAAAGTAAGGCACTCAAAGTCTGTTGCTGCTGTGGATTCTGACAACACGGTCTGGATATGTTTGCAGTGTACCTGGCACCCTGGGGTGTTAAAATGTGCGGCTCCTGGAGGGACAGTTCTGACCTAAGTAGTTAGTGTAAAATATTACACTTCTTGTTTTGAGGATTGCTCTGATAGGAACTCAAAAATACTTAACAGATAGTTTGTTTATAAAGAAAAATAAACAATCCTCGTCATTGTGATTACAGATGTTCCCAATTCCATAGATTTGAGTAACAGCTAATGCAAGGTACCCCTCCCATATCAGTGCAAAAAAACAAAAACAGACATATATAATTGGTGGGAAAATACTTATTGTTGATCTTTGACAGCAACAACTAAGCAAGTAAAACACAGCACTGATGTTTGTTCTCTTCACATAAGAATTGACCTGAAACCGGTTGATTTCTGAAGGGGGGCGAATAAATTAGGATCGGTTCATGACTGGCGTACCTACTGCATTTAGGCTGTATCCGAAGCCAGTACCAACACTGGTATGGGTGCTAGTATTGATACTGGTGTCTGCATCAGAACAATGAACATGGAGGTTAAGTAGGTAAGTTTAACTTTTTTTTAAATGGATTTGAATATGACAAACTACAAAATGTGGACGTTAAGTCAGAACTTATCCTAATTTAGTTTTGTATTAACTTTGTCTTGTTTCTTTTGTGGATGTGAAACCCTGTTCTCACCATATTCATTACAGGTACCTTCACTCCAAAAGGCCCTTGTGCACTCCGATAGGTACCACCAGATCCTCGTCATAAAAGTGGGAACTGTACGCTAACTTCACATGAAAAGGTCAGAGGTCACTACATCACGTCCACAAAGAACTCGCTGGGGTTTCCCATGGCCAGGTGGAAGGACTGACGTGATGCCGTCAGCTCAGGAGGTACGGAGCCAAGGTCACGGGTGGGTGGGGCTCCAGGCGGCCCCCCTGGAACGGAGGAAGGGGGCGGTGGTAGAGCTGGATGCATGGCGGCTGTGGTCATTTGCTGCGGGTGAGGAAGAGCGTGAGCGGTGGCCATTGCAGGGTGAGGGTGCTGGGGTACCATCATCACCATCATGGGGTTGTACGGCAGGATGCCCGGCGGGTAGGGGGACATGTGGGGAGGGTGGGGCATGCGGTGGTGATGCGAGCGTTGGGAGGAGGCGTGGCTGTGCTCGCTGGGGGCGGCTGAACCGTGGCCACGTCTCAGGCTGCTGCGGGTGGAGTATTCTGATTCGCTGCCGCTGCCAGAGCGTGAGTCACCCCCGCCACCTTCTCCGGGAGCACCAGACGGGGATTTCTCTCCTCCGCCTACTGTGCTGCCGGGACCTTTAGTGCTGCGACGGCGCTCGCCCTCGCTCCTCGTAGAGCCACTGCTCCGGCTCCCTGAGGGCAGACAGAAACAGGCTTTTAGATGAGCAGAAACTAAACAGGTTTGAAGAGTTAAGCTAGCTTTAATGCCATCTTTGTCTTTGTGAGTTGAGCACTGAACAGTTGTGAGTATTGTTACATCATGAGTGGCAACAAATCAGGAATATGCTGCATTTTAAAATAATTTTCATTGAAAACCTTCAAACTGAACAGTTTTACTCTGATAGAAAGAAATCCTTTTTAAAAAAAAATTATTCCACAGTTGTCTTCAGGTTTTATCTTCAGACTACGTAGCCTGTGAACGCAACACTGTTTGTTTCCGCCTACCTGCCAAAATGTCAGCGTCTCCCTCAGGAGGTAATCAAGCAATTTAGTACAGAGAGGAAAAGTGAAACCAGAACGTTGGCTTCTCTTCCAGTTGCACGAAAACCTCATTAAAGTCTCGTTGACATTTGTAACACTGCTAATAAAAGTCTAAACAGGGTTTCTTTCTTCATTTATCCACATAAGGTCAGACAACAATTGTGAACTCATGTGTTTTAATATTTCAGCGTACTTCTCACTAATATGAATCAATAATCCTTAAAGCGCATCAAAAGAGGTCACAGTTAGCCCAGACTTACTATGTACTGTAGTGTTACATTAAAGGTGTCCTTATATTTTGACCACTCCATTAACATGCATGAGGGGAGCTAACTACTTTCAATATTGTGCAGTCCAGGGTCCAACCACCCCTCCCCCCACTACCACACCAAAAAATGTACTGAAAGTAGAATTAACACCTTTTATTCTGACCATGTCAACAAAAACTGAAACTGAAGGAGCTTTCTGAAAGTAGAACATATGATAGAACTAGTTGATTACAAAACTGATTGGTGTCTCTTTAACAACAGCAGGGCAAAGAGGATAAGACTGACATTTTTCAGACGGCCATCCCGTTCTGTTTCTTGTATGTGTCCAAAAACACTTTATCGCACAATTGTCAAAATGCATTAACAACCCTGACAGTGATATTTAAAGGAGTAATATGAAAGATATTTACTGAATTAAATCATTAAATGAACTTTAAGGAAACATGCTTTGTTGAAGTGCTGGATACTCTGACAACAACGCAGCAGCCAGTATGTCCTCATCCTACATTTAGACTCCGGTGATGAAGGGTTTGTTTTTGTTTTGACCAGAGAAGAAGGCGGTCTTAAGGCACCCCCACATGGCCGTTTTGGACGCCCCTCGGTTTCCCAGGCAAACGGCAAACCAACAGGTGTTGCAGTGATGGAAGCAGGTAAGTGAATTGGTTCAGATATAACCTCTGCAATTTTTTAATAAGCTCCTCATGCGAAACGAGGTCAAACTAGGATAAATATTGGAGATGCTTTTAAAAAATAAAGAGTTTAGACTGCAGAAAGGGTCTTTCTTTCTTACGGCTGCAGTACCGTACACTTCTGTTCAAGTAAGTAAGCCGTTACATGTTTATCAGCTTGTGAGGTTCTCTAATGAAGACCATGTGATCGCTATCTGTGCTCACCTTCACTGTGCTGGCTGCCTGTGCTGCCGGGGGCGTAGCTGTAGCTGGTGAGCTCGTGGTACGGTGGCGGCTGGCTGGAGAAAGGATGTGTGGGGTACGGCTGGTAGGGGAAGGTGTGCATCATGGGCCACGGGGACGCTCCAGGGAGGGGGAGGGGGGCCAGGGTGTCCTGGTCTGAGGCCCCGCTGGAGCCATCATTGTCATTCAGGGACAGGTTGGCCATGTCTGAGAAGAGATGAGAGGGAGGAGATTAAGAGCAGGATCAGTGACTTAGCAATCAGTGGCAGCTAAACAAGCTAAAGTAATTTAAACTAGTTCTGATCCAAAATCATACCAAATAAGAAGTTCTGGAGAGTTCTTTTTCCTCTGGTTATCAGATTTGAGTTTACTGATGGCACCACATTAAAGAAATTCTTCCATAACTACAATGTCACATGTCTGACCCTGTCAACCCTCAGTGTGTAAACACGCAGCCTCTGTGCAAATGTAGAGTAATCAAGAGCAGCATTCATGCAGACTGATCTAAGTCAGCGTCTGATTTCCACGTTCTCATGTTACTCACAGTTCTCGCAGTCACTTAAGTCTCCAAACACGTAGTAAC